CTCTTGACAGTATTGTTCAGAATTTAGATTGGGATCATGTTTCTCACAGAACTATTGCTTGGTCTTCTTGCCTTGATATTGTACTGGTTTTTTTTTGCCAGAAATCATCTCAGGGACTGCTCATACATTGAAATATTTCACAGAATCACAGAACCATAGGGGCTGAAATGGACCTCTGGAGATCACTTAGTCCAATCCCCACTAAAGCAGGTTCCTTAGGGCAGGTGTTCAGGTTCATTTTGAATATCAGCCTCTCTGGGCAGCCTGTTCCAGTGCTTTGTCACTCTCCAAGTAAAGAATTTTGCCCTCAGAAGAAGTTCATGACTGCGATATGCCATGCGTCATTGTCTTGGCAACCCAATGAGGATCAAGAGAAAGAGCCGCAGCTAAAATATAGCTCTTGAGAGAAGGAGAGACAGAGCCCCATCTGTGGCTTCTTCCAGCTCTTTCCCTACAGTCTCTTTCTTTAAAACAGTCTTAATTAAGATTAAACACATACACTGTGTCAGTGTATAGGTCTTGTGCACAGACATTCCCAGGAAGGGGGAGCACACTCCATCCATATCGCTGATTTCTCCCACCTTACAGCAAGGCACAACTGTATGTCACAACTTCTCCATGTTGCTTCAGGTTGTACACCAACTCTCTCCTACTGGGAGAAGAACAGATGAGAGGAAATCACCTGGAACTGGCTCACATCTGACTATTTCCAAGGGGCGTAAGTCATCTTCTTATGAAAAAGGTAAGATTTGTGGGAATTTTCTGCCTTAGAGCAATCTGAATGATTGATCTCCAACCCTTGGTTAACAGGAAATATGTTGTCGCTAAAACTCTCCTACGAAACTTGCATTTGACAAGAAAAGGAGAATGGAATGTGCTGAATTTATTGCTGTGGAAGCCCAGAAGGTGGAGCATGGTGGTGGTCTGCAGTTCTCTTTGGTCCAGGACAAAGCACCTTCAGAAATGAGCAAGCCAGCATCAGCAGTATAAGAAGCAATGTGTTGCAAGCAAGCATCTGAGAGCTAGCATCTTCAAAAATGACCTTCTACACTAAGTGAAGAAACATGACTGTATCCTCTTTTATTTTGCTTTTTCTTATAGGCACACCTTCACCCATTTCAATTATCTCAGAAGACATGTTCCTCTCAAACAAGCACAGCAATAACACTTGCAGCTTTGCACTCTGCAGTTACAGGGAGGAAACACAGGTATTTCACTAAGAAAATCTTTAAAATAATTCACTGTCTGTGACTTCACATATGGCATGCTAACTCCCATTTGGCTGGCAACAGCGCTCTCTTGTATTTATTTTCTTCTCTCTCCTCATGATGTATACACTCTTTAAAACAATATTTTAACGGCTTAGAAGTAAAAAAGTACATTTCTTTGCCAACATATTCCTGCATGACCATTGGACATTAATAGATTTATGTTGCTACTTAGTATTTTAATTTTGGTTCAGGAAGAAGAGATTCCTAATCTTAAAAAGACAGAAAAAATGTTAAAACCTCAGAATAAAGTGGCTTTTGCAACGACCCTAAGGAGAAGTGGCATAACTGCATATGAGAACAAAGTACTTACAAGCAGTTCTCCTACTCTTCTGGATGCTGAAGCAAAGGTTGGAGCAACTTATGGTTCTGGGTCGTATATGATGAGTAACTGTCTTTTCCATGGGTGAACTGAAGTGAAACACACTAAGAAAATCGTCCATTCCCACTTCCTTCCTGACCACTATAAAACTCAGAACTTTTCATCTGAGACTGATACTGAGTCATAATCTTCTGAAAGGATGCAATTTCTGTTTCCTTAATGAAACTGCAAATGTTTTGATCCAGGGGCAGGAGGGAAGGGAAATATTGTATCTGGAAGATTAGTGCCTTTCTCCAGAACAAAGCTGAAGTATCATGATGAAATTTATTATTATTTTTTTTTTTTTTGGCTAGTGTTTAGGTCTCACTGCTTGCTTCAGAGCCCCACAGTACATGGACTTTCCATCTGTTGCTGGGCATTCCTTGCAAACTCTGGAAGCACTACTCTGAAAGTATGCTCAGTCCTTTGAACATAGCTTGACATATAGAGGCAAGCAGCAGTTACCTCAAACTGTCTTGGCCTATGTATGAAATCCATATTAGTAAGAAGAGTGAGAACTGAAGGATGTTCTATTTAGAGGGAAGAGAGACCACTGTGGAAAACACTTTGCAAATGCTATGCAGTGGATAGAAGCTTGGGGATGGATCTGACAACTTCAAGCACAGTGTTGGCAGCTTTTCACTAGAGCACATCATTGACCTGTGGGAAGCAGTAGTCCCAGTTCCTTTGGATCCCACAGGCTGACATGTACTACCACTGTAATGAGAATTTTGTTGGATGCCAAGTGCCAGTCGTTAGTAAACTTAAGGCTCCTTTATGTTACCAGACAGTGCAAAGGCAAATTGTAACAGTAAATTGAATGCATGGCATCCTGAATTATTCTTAGTTACATAGTCAGCATTACGTACAGCTAAGAGCAATGAGGTTTGTTTTGAAAGGTGGATATTGCTAGCATAGGTGCCTTTCTTTGCAAATCAGTAACCCTGCATTCATTCAGGGATAATCCTGCTCTTTGCTGTTCTGTTTGTTCTCTCCATTTCCTATAGTGCAGTTTCACCACAATGCACTCATTCCCTGATATTGCTTTGATAGCTGGCATTAATTGGAACTAATGCACAGCAATTGCAGTTACAACTAAAACATCAAAATTCACTATGAATTCAGGACAATACCAGAAAGAAGGGCAGTTGTCCTCTTTGTTTGTAAAAGGAAACATTTTTTTGAAGAGTTGATGAACATTTGTGAAAATATTTTTACAGCCTTTCTGTCTATATAATTCCGACTGTTATATTCTCATAGATACAGCCTCCAAAATCAATATTATCTAGAAGGTCAATGTTACATCAAGAAAGAAGAAAAAATGAGGACATGGTGCAGGAAAAAATAGAGCATCGTGATGGAAAGGTGAGATAAATTAAGGTGCTTGAAGAGATCACCAACAGGGCTGCAACAGATAGTAATTGCCACTTCAAGTAGTCATAGAGAATTATCTCTCAAAGAGTCCTTAATGAAGAGCTTAAGTATAAAGTTCACGTTATAAGTAGCAGGAAATTATATATAGCTGATGGGATGGAAATCAAGTAAGCAATTTTTCTTATCTCCTACTGTACTGACTGAGGGTAATCTATGTCCAATCACAGTTGTCAATTCTTGATAAGCCTTAGGATATATGAAGTTCAGACAGTAAAGTAAAACACAGGTTGCTGTGTCTATTCAGTTCAGAGCTTCTCCTGTCAATACACGTGTTGATTAATGATACTTTCCAGTAAGCACACACGGAAAAGGCCTTTGCAATGTAACATTGTTCAGGGGAAACTGGTTTGATGTACCTATTATTTTATAGCTAGTGCTGAGATAGACTGTGTGAAAATTTCTACCAATCACATTTCCTTCTCATAGAAATAGAAAATACATTATTCATTGTTTTGGTCCTTGTGAAAAAGTCCTTTTTACCACTGTATTTGATTCATAAAACTTATTGTTGGACACGGCTTATTCAACATGAGAGTGGCCAAAAGGTGGATTGAGTCATTAATTCTTATTTAAACTAACTGGAACTTTTTCTAACAAGGCCTTTGTATTAAGTATCTATAAGAATATCTTTCTATAACTGACTAGTTTTTTCTAAACAAAAATATTTCTAAAACTAAGATCTTGCCCTCACTATTTGTCCCCTTTCCCTGAAGATATTTATTCCTTCTTGTCTTGTTGGGACATGTGCTTTTTTTTTTCTGTAGACAACACTGGAAATACAAGGAAAAGCTATAGTGCACCCTATGGTTGTCTTCTTTTTTTTTAGAGTTTGCTAAATGAATTAAATTATGGAATTTATTTATGCTGAACAGAACTAGTTCCTGTAGTCATTCTGGAAAACTCATTAACTAGAGGCTGTATTAGGAAGGAAGTCTTCTTAGACCAATATATTGTTTGTAGAACAGCACACTGATAATATTATTGCCACCTGTTAAGAAGCCTTGATCAATTTTTTAAGGAATCTCTGCATACAGCCACATTTAACTCTTTAGTATTGACTGTCCATTCAGGCTTATGTTACTTGGAAAAAACGGTTGTTAACATGTCAACTGTCTCTGTTAATATATCATTTTGATTTGCATAATCCAGAACAACCTACACAGAATGAATACCAGCATATATGAAAACAGTACAAACCATTACTAACTGAAGTCGGCCAATGAACAGCCTGTATTTCTTCATTATTGCCCCAGGGCAATCTGTCTTATCTTGCTTAACAGAAGAGAAGGTGGTGTGGTGGGAATTTGAGTCAAGTGCTTGAAAAGGGATGATTTTGCTAAAAGATAAAGTCAGAATTTTTTCTCTCTTATGCAAAAATGAGGCAAAAAAAAAAAAATGCACACATGCTGCTGAGATAGCTTTGAAATGCAAAAGTATTGAGTGAGTACACTGAGTTATTTCAAATTCCAATTTCATTGGAAGGCAGTGTAGTGTAACTCGCATCCTTTGACTTCAGCAACATTAGGTGCTCTATGTTTTCAAAGGTTGAAGAGGTGCTTACTGATGGACGTCGAATCATCACTTTCCGCAATGGTACTAAAAAAGAGATCAGTGCTGATAAAAGGATGACAACAATTAGCTTTTTCAACGGAGATGTAAAGAAGATCATGCCAGATCAGAGAGTGGTACATTGCATTTGTTTTCTTTAAGGAAAACTGTATGGTTAAGAGATCTGTCAAAAAAGTTCCTACTGTTCATCTTTGTAGCAGAAATGCTAAGTCACAGCTTGAAGCAGTGATTGAGCACCTGGTGGGAAGGTAGGGCCAACCCAGAGCAGCTCAGGTGTATGCAATGTACCCGAGTGACTGGAAGAGGTGGAGCCAGGATCCAGCCCTTCCCAGATCTCATTTAAGGGTTGTCAGTGGAGGTAAGGGTATCTTGCTGGAGATCCCTGCCTACTTGAGACCTTCTAAAGGTAAGCAGATTTTTTCCTTTGTTTCTATGCCTACAGCTGCTGCATTTGAGCATACCCTCACTTGCTGTAACATAGGACTTTGCTACTACACTGACATTGCTGTGCTTTCCATGGTGTTACAGCATTAATGTTAAGTTACAGTGTATCTTGAAATAGCATTTCTGGGATAAATTGATGAGGAAGGGTTGGTTTCCACAGCCCTGATTGGGGAGGACTGGAAATTGGTGAAGGTAACAGTTGAAGAAAGGGCGAACAGGGATTGAGCTAAGCTGACCAAAGGAAACTGAGAAAAGGTAAAATGTAGGGGAAGCCATCTGAAGAAAGGACTGTTTTTTGTAGATTTTAGAGTGGGTTGCACAGGAGTTCTTCCCTCTTGGCATTAGGTAAATATGTTTAATAAGAACGTGAGCTGAAGTGGAGATGAGTAAGACCTTGGCAAGAATGTGAACTTTAAATTATTAGTGCATGGGTTGGAGCTAGAGTTCCTATCTGCAGGGAATTGAGAAGATCGCTCTCATTGTTCTTCTCTACATTACAGATAAGTAGAAATATCTAGAAAAAGCCAGGAGGAGGGGTGTGAATGAAAGAAAGGAATTAAAATGTAAGTGTATCAACTTTTAGGGATGGCAGATACCTGAAGAAAATAGTCTTGAAATGACTTCTTAAAGTTGGCTTATTTTTTAAACACATTGCTATGGTTTAATCTTCTTATGCAAATATGACTGTGCTGCAAACAGTTCACTGTCCTTCCAGATCTATTATTATGCAGATGCACAGACAACTCACACTGCTTATCCAGAGGGCCTAGAGGTGCTGCAGTTCCCTAATAATCAGATAGGTATGCAAGAACTTGTGGATGTGAACTATGTGTGTGGGAATATCTTAATTGCGTAAGTGTTGTCTGAGCCTAACTCCAGCAGATTTACATTTTTTCTTCACATTTGCTTTTTCTTTGACTTTTGATTTTTGGTATGATCCATCACTTTACTGCTCAATTTCCTTCTACAAAGAAAGATAATAAAGGGGCATAAATGCATCATTTCTATAGTTTTACTATCTCATTTGATTCTTTAGTTCCTCTAGCAGTATGCTGGATGGAATTTCTGCCCTCACTACAAAGTCTAAAGAAAATCTCATCTAGCTCTGTGTAAAGCTATGAGAGAGAATTCCAAAGACATTTTTTAAAATCTTGTTTTCCACAGAAAAGCATTATCCTGATGGCACACAAGAAATTGTGTTCCCAGATCACACAGTGAAATGCCTCTATAGTGATGGATTCGAGGAAACTTTTTTCCCAGATGGTACAATAGTAAAAGTAGAAAAGTAAGTCTCCTTTTAGAAACAGGAATTGGCACTGGGCACAAGTTTAATGTTACTAGCATATACAACTGTGGCTTGATTCTGCATGACTGGAAAACTTCCATATGAAAGAAGAGATTTGGATGAGAGCAAGTGTTTTGCTGCAATGAGGAACTGAGAACCGTTTGCTTCCACTTTGAATCACAGGTGACCTGATGTCACTGGCAAAGTGACTGAAATATTTCTTATTTTGTTCTATGTAACTTTGCAGTCACTCTCAACATCTGGCCAGGGCAACAGTATAACTTGCAAGCAAAAGGGAAGCCAGTTGTTTGTATTAAAAACGTAGGACTGGAGAAGAGGACTCTTGGGTTCTATTCTTTAGTATTTTACTCACTTTCTGTTCTTGCCAAGATGTTTTGAATTCTTTGTTTCTATTCCACCATATAAAATGAGGACAGATAACAACAGGAATTCATTACACGTGCCTATTCTGTGCTTCTGTTGTATAAGAGATTTTTCTATTAGCAAAATGCCTTGAGATCCCTGCGTGTGGTATTCATAAAAACACAGATCCTACCATCCATTATTGTGTATAGAAGCACCTTTGTATTGAAATTTGGTTGTGATAACTGATCTCTGATATGACCACATGTAAATTCTGAGGTGAATTATATAACCTATGAAAGTTTCTACTTTCATTGTGCCATCTTAGGCAGCTAGGTATGATAGGTTAATAACATACAGTGCTTTATGGCCCATTCACTCATGGCTATTGCTTTCAGGAACGGAGATAAACTAGTGGTATTCAGTAATGGCCAGAAGGAGTTTCACACTGCACAGTTCAAGAGGAGGGAGTACCCAGATGGAACCGTAAAGACTGTGTACTGCAATGGCAGGCAAGAAACCAAGTATTTGTCTGGACGTGTTCGAATCAAAGACAAAGAGGGTAATGTCATCCTCGATAAGAAGTGATTCCTCCCATCAGTGGCCGAACTATATGTAAGTGGCTCAACAAATTTTCTCTGTACGATTTAATCTCTTCCCCCTCTGGACATGTGTGTTGGTTTAAAAGATTCTTTCCGGATGTCTCTGATGCTTTTCTGTTGCTGTTAATTATTAAGATTAGAACATGTGAAGTAGTGAAAACCACTATTTCTAATGAAATAAATTAAGGATAATACTTTCAATCCACTGTGTTCTATACAACTACAAATTGCCATCATACCACAAAGAAAAAAAAAACCATAATCTTAGTGGATGGAGACTAGCCTACATTTGTCCTGGGGTTATGGGAGAAAAAAAAAAAAGGAGTAATTAGAAGATGCTAAAGTACATTTATATATCTCAAGAGGCTGAGAGTGGGGGCTATTGAACCTGGAGAAGGCTCAGCCATACCTATGTACATAAATACCTGAAGGGAGGGAATGTGGATTCTTCAGAGCAGTGCCTGCTGACAAGTCAAGAGGCAAAAGGCTTGCATTGAGATGCATGAAATGATACAATTGCAGTCTGAGAATACTGTCCAGTGTATTTGAAGACAAAATGTAACATTTATTCCTTTTTGGTCATTATTCCAGATAAAAGTGACACTTCTTACATCTTTCTTTTCTCAGACCTCTTTTGTGTTTCTCTATTTTTGAATTAACCTCTCCCATTACTGCCTTTATACTTCCAGTAGTATAAAAACATTTCTGCTCAGTGAATCTCAACAGCTTTAAGGCTCTTTGAATTGTACTTAATACCTAGGGGGATTAATCATTTACCAGATACTACTTTCAGCTCCCTTCCTGGTAGACTTACTGTCTATCATCTGTCTTGAATTCTTCCAAAGCACTGAAGCATTTCCCCTGTAGGACTCATCTTACTGCCTGGTGACTGAAAAGACCAATTATTTCCTCGTGCCCTTCAAATTCCTGTAGCAAGAAACACGTTCATAGAATGCTGCTTTGGGCTTTTCTCACACCTACATGCAAAACAATTGCAAGATTATGGAACTTCTCCCTCTTCTCTATACCTTCCAGTGGGCCAGACTGCCAACGCATCAGCATTCATATTGCAGATCATCTTTGGAAGAAACAGATCGAGCAAAGTAGAAAATGTTGTTTGTATTGATCATACTCATACTGTTGTTCATGAATTTAATTATGATGTTCTAAAGATCCAAGAAGTTTGATGTCAGATGGTGTGGTAATAACACTGTACTGTTTTGGTTATGTTTCATTACAACAAAGGAACAACTTTAAATCTGTGCTCTTCACTACTGAAATACTTAATACATTTTATATGTTTTGTAAAAGGAAAGTCTAATCAAAAGAAATCCAAGAGATCATTCTTTTCCGTGTGTTTACTAAGAATTTCTGCTCAGTGTAGCCTCTGATTAAAACAAATGTGTGTTTTGGTTTTTTTCAATTGACCATCGTATAAACAATAAATATGATTAATTCTCTCTTTCAGTTAGGTTAGGAAAATTGATGTTTCCAAGGCACAAGTGCTTTTATTCTCAGGATTTTTTTTAACAAGGAGTGCATGTTCTCCAGTTGTTATGCTTACATCCTTTTTGTTTCTATAGTAAAATACAAACTTGCCTTAAATTGTTGATTGCTATTCATTTATCTGCGCATATAATCCTTTATAATTTTAAGTTCAATAAGGAATAATTTTGTTTGTGATCTGCTTGCTCCTTGGTTAATTAAGCACTCTTGACTCTACTTGTAGGACGTGTTCTCCTGGAATAAAAAGCATGCAGTCCTGCACAGATGTAACAAGTGATATGTGTAACCTCCTAGGTCTCTGCGCATGTTTTTCAAGCAATATTTTATAGCACAGAAGCAAAGGGATTCTTGAAGTAAGGGGTGCCATTTAATTTTGTTAGAAAAGGAGACAGCAAAGTACATAACTAATGAGCCTTGGCAGGTTAGGAGCCCTTCACAGACCAATTATGGCAAGTTATACTATTTTTCACAGGCTAATTCTTACACCTTGTCTCCCTTACCTTCCATTTGCTTTCCATTGGTAATCAGGAGCTGCTTGCTCTACTAGGTATAGTGCAGGAATACTAATAATTCAAATTTTGTGGTGCGTATTTACCTTAATCGTAACAAATTTGCCTACTTTGGAAAAGCCAGCTTACTATAACTTTTCTCCTGTGGTATGCAGTGAACATGTTTTTATGAAATCTTTGGGGATGTGAGACACAGCTGGAAAACCCTATTTCTCTCCACAGGTTTTCTAGCACTACAAGAAGTATGTTACAGCCAGTATCTGGCGTCAATTTTGAGACAAATCTAGAATTGTGGATGACTTCTGAACAATAACTTCAGTTTTAGACAGGTGGGGGCAGCAAAGGTGTACAAGAGAAGAGTAGTAATCTTAGAGCCTCAGATGTCTCAGTTCAGTGTCTTTTTAATCTTCCATGCTTAATTAATCAGTGAAGAAGTTCTACTGAAAGCAAAACAAAACTGCCTAATTGCTACACTCTTCGGGTGGATAACGCAGAGTCTGTGAGACAAAGGTTTGATTTGCTCTTCTTGAATACAGTATTTGCAGTTTGTCCTGCCCTCCAATATCAAATTTCTTTCTTACTTTTGGAAGCCTTCTTTATCAAGGGCTTATTTGGGGGGGAAAAATACCACCACTGTAACAGCGTATGTCAGTACATTTTTTTTTATAACTTGTTTTCCATAAGAATTTCTGCAGAATCCTACAGGTCGTAAAATGAAAGTTGTTTCATATTGTTGTTTCATACAGTGCAGAATTAACCTGTGGAAAGTGATGCCAGGCAGCTCACTGGATTGTTCAAAAAATGTTATTGCTTTGTGTGATTCATATCACCTGCATCTTTGTAAACTGAGAGCATGTTGAATGTTTCCCTAGTGTAAACTGACCAGCTTTTTCAAATCATAAAGCTGGGAAAAGAAAAGAAAAGAAAAGAAGCAAAGACTTCTGAGGTAAATAATAAGACAGGTATTTCTGAAGATGTTTTGAGAAATGCAATTCTCCATTTTTATTTTGAGATATTAGTTCTAAGAGTTATTCAGCACTTTCATTTTCAAAAATAATCTCTCGTGGTAATTGCTATATCACAATTTTTACACTGTGTATGCTTTGAAATATTTCCTTCTAATACAATTTCAGTACATGCCCACGTACCTTCAAGCTAACGGTGTCATTCATGATGTCTGCATGACTTAACATCATGAAGTTATACATATTGTGAAGTTAAACACTCTTTGTCTTTTTTTGTCCTGTGCTATTTTGTTTACTCACTAATTTATTTATTTCCTTTATGATGCTCTTTACATCTGTGCCGTCCTTGGAAGCTTGAAGTGCAGCTTCATTGAAAGGAAAAATAAGCACAAAACCTCCTACCTGGCGGGTAGGCATCTGGTCTTTATCAGAGAGGAAATAGGGGCGTGTGCTTAACTTGTAGTTGCAGATTTCAGGTGAAGGTGACCACCGGCTGAGTTGGGCAGAAATGAATGGAGAATGTGCAGCTGGGAGTTGTTTGTTTTTAGCTTCAGTCTTTACTTGGGAGGATGTTTTTGGCTTATTCATCTTTTCCCGCAGCTGGGAAGTCAGTGTTTCCCTTGGATGTGCTCTGGCAGTTTTCCTGGTTGGGGAAGACACCTTATGAATTGATCCTCTTGCAAACTGCAGGGCAGGTTGTGTTTGAGGAGCAGAAATACAAGTAGATACTTTTCGACCAGAAAGTAAGCCAGGAGCCTGTTCTGGGGTGCTTTGACCTGTTCTTCTCCAGGGTACCTGCCTTCTAACAGCTTTTGATCCAGGCATTTCATTCTGCCTGTGAGCGTCAACCTGTTTGTAGTTAAGCAGTTCAACAATATCATGAAGAAGCTTTCTTTTCACAGTGTCATCAATGGAGCAGTCTAAACACAAAGCTGGGTTGTAGTTCACTTCTAAAAGCCATGGCTTGAACTTGTCATCAATCAGGATGTCAAAGCCAAAGAGCTCAAAGCAATTGGAAGCCTCTGGTAAGGGAGTGACAGCAAGCAGGGTGAGGATCACGATGTTATTCATCTTTTGCCACAGTAGCATATCATCGACCCCAAAAATTCGAAGGTAAGAACGGAATTTGCTGAATGTCCACTTGCAACCACAGCCAATCCCTTCTTTAAATGTTTTGTATGAAGCTCCATATTTGTTTATGCTGGTGTTTGTTAGGTGGGCGTAGACGTTGTCTAGAGAACTGAGATCAAACTTTTCAGTGGCAAATCTCACCAATCCCTCTTCGTAAGTGTAAATGGTGAGTGGGCAAAAACTGGTGACACACACATAAAGGCGAAGATCCAATTTATATCCTGAAATGAGCAAGGGGTTGCTAATGTACTTCTGCACAATGACTGTACAGTGATATACTAAGTCTTTAATGTCTTGGAAAATGAGTATGCCCCTTCCACGGGAGAGATGCACAGGTTTGCAAATCCAGTAACTAGGTCTGCCTACTGACTGTATCTCTTTGCTGTATTCTGCTATGAATTTGACATAGTCATTGGGCATGATGAATGCTACTGGACTAAATTCATACAGTGTTGATCCATATGCTCCTTTCATACGTTTCAGGTGCCTTGCCAAATAGTCTTTTCTGGTGATCCTGACAGCTTCTGGGTAGTGGTTGAGTCTCTGCCATGGTTTAATACTGTGGTGGTCTGTCATAGGAAAAGGTGAGTTCCTCCAGTACAAGTTCCAGTCTGTGTCATCTTGCTCCTTTTGGTCAAATTCAGTCCAACCACGTTCCAATAAAACCTCACGGATTATTGCAGGGGCATTTTCATGGAGACGGAACACCAAAGGCTTCAAGGTTTCACTTGCATTATCATCTGCCAACATTTCCATCTTACTAGCTGAAAGAAAATAGAATTGTCAGGAAAGAAACAATGCTACAAGTTGTGCTAACAGTCATCAACTTTGCTGTATTCTTAATGTTTGTCACTCTCAACACGTTCTCAAAGCATATCACTCCTGTGTTTCCATTGCCCATGAAAGAGAAGTCAAAGGCTTGTTTAAGCTGAAATGTTAGAAGGGCATAAAGACAGCTGTTAAGATAGCACAAAGCATTGACTGCTGAAAAGTTGTACGTCTTCAGTCTTGCATTTACTCTTTCTTTGAGGTAGCCTACTATAATAGCAGTTGTTCTAAAACTTCTGTAATTCATGAATATTTACTAAATATTACAATTTCCTGATATGGGAAGTTTTTTCCATAGAAGAAAAATAATCTCTGCCAGGTACTTTTAAAACTTTGAATTTTTTTTGTTTTGAAATTGTCAGAATATCTCATTTATGTTTTTTGAAAAGCTAGGTTTGACAGTCCTGGTTTAAAAAGAAATGTCTTTTTAATGTCTTACCATTAATAAAATGTAAATTAACTTAAAAGTTTTGTCAGTTGCAGAACAGATTAAGGCTTATTTCATCTGCATGTGGAAAACAACTCAGAATTTCTTGTGTGATATAAAACGTGCTTCACTTTCCACATCTGACATCTAGTGATCCTCTTCTATGACGTATTTGTCATGGCTGTCCAATACATTTTGCTGCTGCTATCTGGCTTAACTACGGACTGCAGCTGAATTCTCCTTAGTGAGAGGAGGAGTAAGGGTTTGTAGGAAACAGGAAACAAACATGGTAGGTACTGCAGCATAATGATGTAATATGACTTAGATATTAACACCACAAAGGTGAAAGAAAGACTTCTTTCTGTGTGTCTTGCAGGCAGTGCTTCCCAGAGAGCTAAGGGTTTGCTGTTGAGCCTGCAGACAAACCTAACCTGGTGGCATAGTGAACCCGGGAAATTTTTGTTATCTTTGCTTCTGCTTTCTTTCCTGGGAGTTTTTTCCTGCCTGATATTAAACAGCAGGATGTCATGTTATAAATATGTGTGTGTGTGTATATATATATGTGTGTGTGCGCAAGACAAAGCAAGTTTTACAGTAGCTGGTTCAAAATCTTAGGTAATGATTATTACATTGAGAAAAAACTTAACTGAAAGTAGCCATACTAAGCATTTGGATGAGTCACCTTAGGACTGCAGTTAGTTTTGTCTTTTTTGTACTGCTAAGCATTCCTACTAGCAGTTTCAGTGAAAAGCACTGTTGCACAAGAATCTAGAGCAGGTATGATTACTCTGGTAGGTAATCATAAATCAGGCTACTAGTAGTATCTGAGGAATGAAGCTGCCTTTTGGTGGTTTTCTATAAGGGTGTATTAATGGTGCATCTTTCATACCTCTGGCACTTAGGGTACAGCGTACAGGAAATTGACTCAACAAGCCTCGATATAACAACATGAGCTTCAAACTTTCAGATAATTAATACAAAGAAAACAATGAGAGAGCAGTTACCTGCTAAAAAAAAAGTCCTCTTACAAATAAGCAGAAGCTCTTACAGTAATATTACAAAAGTAACTCTAGAATGATACAGTGAGTTTAATGAGTGAATTTTACTCATCTGTACAAACATGTGCCTGGATGAATGCTCACTTCATTATCTAAGAGAGCTTTGCCTGCATTCTCCGAGCTCTCAATTTTTTGCCCGTTCTTTAATAACCTGCAAATCCACCCATGTGTTTGCAGACATTCATCTACAGAGTGGAAATGGCTGCAGCTGCCTGGGAGCGTGCTGGAATCCAACACCCACTGACCATTGTTGCAGATGTTCCCCTCAGAATAAGGGCTGCAGCTGTGACCTCACTGTTCCCATGGAGCTGTGTGGTGACCCTGGGGCCACTGGGCAGTCCCAGCCTCTTTCAGGGCTCCAGGTCTGCCTTGGCTGCTACCAGCTATTTCTGCATCACTGTTGCTTGTCTTCATACCTGTTGGAGGCAGATCTTGTGGAAATACGATCTTTAATGGTTAAGCATTGAAACTGTTTGCTTGCAGTGTTCGAGAGAACTGCCTCTGCATAGCTAAACTTTGCAGACTGACTAGTAAGTGTTTTGTACTAATGTCCTCAAACCCTCAGGGCCACGGACCATTATGTGGATCTGCAAGCTGCCTGCATTGGGATTCTGTCTCACAACCAACCATTCTAATCACTCCTTTAGGTGTCATTTCTGTCCAGTAAGCAGCCCCATACTGCAAGGTCAGGAAGGATGCCTGCCAATCCAGCTTCATCCCCATCTGGCTACACCACATGGCCTCTTATGTGCATCGGATGTGGGCTACCTGCACCAAGAGCACGTTCCCTGACTCGCAGGCACAGGGGTAAGGCTGAGCAGGTGCAGGCTGTGTCTGATTGAGCAGAAATGCTATGAGTTTAAAGGCCGGGCAGAGCCCCACTGCACTCCTTCCGACGTCAGCCTCACCCCGCGGGCCTGCCGCCCCGCACGTACCTCTGCCAGCTTCAACCCCATCCAGGGCCGCTCCGGCCGCAGCTGCAGGCGCTCGAGTGAGCGGGAAGCGGCGGGGCCGGCTGCTGGGGCCGGAGGAAGGAAGGGCCGGCGGCCGTTGC